TCTAGCTACTAGTATTCAGAAAGGTTTTATAGAGAACAACACACCTGAACTGAGTCTGGAAGAATAAGTAGAACTTTCCCAGAGGAAGGTGAGGAAGGCAATTCCAGCACAGGAAGGGACATGAATATGGACACTGAGGCAGGGCAGAATTAATGCAATATAGAAGAAATGGGTGAAATGTATTTATTTAAAATTGGGGACTCTTAAAATTAGCTTCAGTGAAACAACGGAGGGGTCCTTCACCAAAATCCTTCTCTAATGCTTCATTATGAAGTAGAAATGACTGAACTCGTATAACCAATATCAGTGGAACCCAAGTTCTAGTAGGTCATGCCAAACTGGAAAGCTTCAAGTGTGGGCTCATCTGAGCACAAACCTATGTTGGAAAAGCTCATCATCAAAAGGTTGGCAGGGCAGGTGATGAACGAGTTGGCGGTAAGGGAAGGGAAGGGGCACAGCTTTAATATGAAAATCATTCAAATGGCTAAAGCTTGGAAGGATTGGGGTCTACAAGGGTAGAGGAAGTGTTCCCACTGATAAAAATCATTTATTCTAGAAGCGCTGAGGGTCCCTTGTAGAAAAAGTTCTCAATGTGCTAAGCACAAATTAGGAATGGGACCACAGATGGAGGCTTGCCTGTTTTAAGAAAGTCCTTAGTGAGGAAATCCTCTCTACTAATGCAGATTAGCATCTTCTTTGCAACTTATGGTCTTAAGAGACTTGCTTAGAAAGTTTGTGACTTCCTCAGAGTCACACAAGCAGTACTATAAGAAGCACATCAGGTATAGGACAGCTATTTATTTCCTACACCGCCAAACAAATACTTAAAACACAAAAAGCCCATAATTGTGCATGAACAAATATCCAACACACCTCTTATACTCTCCTGGGGGGTAAGCTATAAGAGAAAGGTCAATAAGGCATATAACATAACTGCTCAGAAAAGAGAAAAGCAGGCCTCCCCCATCCCAAGGCATCATGATTAAGTCAAACAATGAGATATAAAACATAGCTTGACTAGAGTCCTTGAACTTTTAAGGAAAACTCTATAAATAAGATTTTTTTTTTGAAAAATTAACACTGTCCAGATCTTCCGGCCAATTGGGCCACAGCTTCGGCTTTCTTTGTGTTTTCAGCCAAAGTATCTCACCAGCTATAATCATCTTCTCCTCTGAGAGGTAGTAGAGTTTTAGGAATAATCTCCTGGTGACCATCTGGTAATAACGCAGGAACTCAGAAACTTTCAAATTCACAAGGCTGTCACCACCAGAGGAGCCGATCTCTTAGGACTGATGGTCAGTCACTTGTACTCATGAAAAGAAACGCAAACTAGAAGGGGTTAGTTAGGGACTTAAATTTCTGCCTCAAGGTCACTTAAGAAAACAGAGCTGATCTCACTGCAATGTGCTCAGAGTTGCCATGGCCCCAGTAGAGGGAAGAGGAGAGAAATTCCTGACCCAGCTGGAAGTCCATGGGAAAATTGGCAGAGTCCCAGGTTACCTACTCAAAAGAGAAGCAGGTAGAGTTTTTGTATAGCCCTTATCACCCATTGAAGGGGAACTTTCTTCTGACTTAGTCACACATCATTTTCAACTTGATCCTCACAGCAGAGCAACCAATGGACCAACCAAGAACTATTGGTCGTGTATGTCCTTTAGTAAGGAGCCAGAGCATATGAACCAATGGAAGGGGCCAAAGCATATGCTCTTTGCTCCATGAAAAGTGGTGAAATCCAGCAAATGAGGGGATTCTTTTGATCATACACACACACACACACACACATGCTCACACACACACACATGCTCATACACACACATGCTCATACACACACACACACTCACACACACATGCTCACACACACACGCTCACACACACACATGCTCATACACACACACATGCTCATACACACACACACACACACACACACACGCACACACACACAGAGGCATGCACCCACACAGACACATGTGCAGAAGTAATTGAAGGATCATTCAGAGGACATCCATATCGAATTATTAAATCCTGCAGTCTTCTCCTGCACTTAACCTGGGAACATCTGTACTTCTGGGGCATAGATCTTTGCTTCTTCCCTCAGCAGCACCATCTGACCCAGCGGCCCAGGACCGTACACTGTGTCTTGTTTGGAGAGCTGGTGACAAGAAGAAAAGATGGAGTGCACCAGATGGGTGGAGAAAATTCTGGACAGCATCAAAGAAATGGTAAGAAACCTTCAGCTAGCGAGTGCATTCCTAGCACCCAGCTCTTTCCACACACCAGATGTCAACGCTTGTTTACTTTGGGAGGCTGCCAAGGTTGGTAATGGGCAGGAAAGCTAGCTGAGTTGCCTTTTGGAGAAAGAAATTAGCCAGGGAACAATTAAAGATTTTGAATAAGCAATTAGCCCAACTGGCAAAGACTCATAAATCCTCCCTGGATCAAAACAGTTAATTGATATTGTCAGCCTTTGGGGGGAAATTACTCTTTTTGAAATTAGTCAAAGAGAAAATGCCATTTGGGTGAATAAAAGCTACAAGGGAAAGGTCAATAAGGCAGATAACATACTTGCTCAGAAAAGAGAAAAGCAGGCCTCCCCCCATCCCATGATTAAGTCAAACAATGAGATATAAAACATAGCTTGGTTGGAGGCCTTGAACTTTTAAGGAAAACTTTATAAATAAGATCATTCAGCTGGCTCAGTAGGAAAGCCTTCTTAGAACGAGTTTACAGATACATATTGGAAGGGACGATCCAGGAATAAAGGAAATGGGGAGGCTCCCTTCTGCAGTCCATAGATGACCACTGTGGCCTCTGCTTCTTGACTGAGGCAGCTAGGTGACACAGTGCAGAATGTGCTGGACTTGGAGTCAGGAAGACCAGAGTTCAAATCTGGCCTCAGACTTTTACTAGCTGTGTGATCCTGGGCAAGTCAAGTAACTTATTTCAGCCTCAGTTTCTTCATCTGTAAAATGAGGATAATAATAGAGCCTCGCTAAGGTTGGTGTGAAGATCAAATGATATAAGAGATGTAAATTGTTTGACAAACCTTAAAGTATTACATAGATGCTAGCTATTAGCTAGTCTATCCTCCATTTGTCCTACTGCCCCAAATGCCATTATTACTTGTTCCTCTTAGCACGTAACCTTCCTTTCTCATATGATTCTTGGTACCTGGTAGGTCACAGATACAATAAAGGCCAACTCATTTAGACTGCAGAGAGGTGACTTGGTATAATGGAAAGAACTGGACTCAGAGTCAGGAGCACTGACACTTCTGACACTTCCTTGGCAAGTCCCTTAACTTCTCAGTCACCAGGAAACTCTCTAAGACTATAAATTGCAGAAAAGACACCAATCTGCATTGGTAAAGGAAATCTCTAGGAGCTCCCTACACAGATGAAATCACAGGTCCAGTCAAAAAAAAATGGACTCTATCTATTGAGAATTCATGATGATTCAAATTCTGATCAAGCCAATGTTTGTTTCCATTTGCCTGTTCGGGGAGTGAGGAGAGGGGGGAGGATGGTTTAACCATTTAACAATGCATGTATGACAACAGGGGAAATGCTTAACCTACCTAAGAAAACACAATAATTTAAACCATCCTTCATGAGCATGTTAGTTACAAATGATATAAATGTGGCCATAGGATCATAGACTGAAGAGAGAGCCCACCCTTTCACTTTACAGATCAGATAATAGATTAAGTCACTCAAGAGAGGCACAGTTGACCCATCTTTGGCATAATTTTTTGAGCTATTAGCTCTGCCATGTACTTGAAAGTAATAAATTTTCACTTCTTTTTAAAATGCTGCAATTTGAACTTTTCCAATTATTCAGGTTGATCTTTCCCCTGAAATTACTCTAAATAAGGGATATTTTACTATGACAGCTGCCCCCAATGGTACCCATGCTTACAGTATTATTTTGAATAGTTGGTCAATGTTATTATTTTATTACTTTCAAGTAAATTGTTTTAAAAAGAAAATACAATCAAATGCAAAACATACAGAAATTTTATGCTTTTACAAAGTTAACTTAACCAGCTAATAGAAGAAATGAGGGGGCAGCTAGGTGGTGCAGTGAGTCAGTGGAATCAGGAGGGCCTGAGTTCAAATCTGGCCTCAGACACTTGACACTTACTAGCTGTGTGACCCTAGGCAAGTCACTTAACCCCAATTGCCAGAAGAAGAAGAAGAAGAAGAAGAAGAAGAAGAAGAAGAAGAAGAAGAAGAAGAAGAAGAAGAAGAAGAAGAAGAAGAAGAAGAAAGGAAGTCTCTCTCAGAAATATCACTGTCCCAGAGCTTGTAAGCAAGAGAACTCTTGGCCAGGGCTAACATATATATATATATACATATATATATATATATATATTTGTTCCAAGGTACTTATAAGCCTAGGAGGCTTGTTTGTCAACCAAGGACACATTATGCCTGTAATTGGAAGGACATTCAGTTTTTATATATTAATTTGCATTTCATAAACTTGCCTTGAACAATGCTTGCTGGGCCATTGTTGAAATACCTTTGCTTGGCTTGGCTTATGTTACTGAAATTCACAGAGAACAGGGCCAACAGTTAGATAAGAGTCTTAGATATGGAAGGGATCCTGAAGGCCATCTTGTTTAACCTCCCCTCATTTAACATGAGGAAACTGAGGCCTAGAAAAGTGAAGTTATTTGACCAAGGTCACAAATGGAGGAACTGACAGAGGCAGGATGCTATAGAGGTTTAAAAATTAAAAAAAAAACCCACCAAATACCATGAAATGTTACCATAAATATAAGTACAAGGTATCATATGGGCCTTTCTAAAATTGCAAAAATCACAAAATCTCAGAGTAAAGTGGATTTAGAATTTCTCAATTCTAAATTAACATCAGCTCCATCAGGTACTTATTGATTGGTCATAGGATTTAGAGCTCAAGGAATCTAAATGATTGTCTATTCCAATATCTTCATTTTATACACAAGGAAACAAAGTCAGAGAAAGGAAGTGACTTACCTAAAGTCGCAAGTAGAGTAAGTGCTGTAGTCAAGATTCACATCCCGGTCATCTGTCTCAGATCCAGAGTTCTTTCTAAACCAGACTCTTGTTTCTTGATACTGATGTAAAGGTACTTCTCTGATGGAGTGCCCCAGGGATTTATCCTCAGCATCATGCAGTATTTGATATTTCTTTTACCTGTAGGCCCCCAAACACTCTGCCATATGCAGGCCCCTCCAGAAATCAACAGCAAGTTTGAGGCACTTTCTATATGTAATTAGCCACTCAAAACCATAGCTTATCAGCTCGTACCAGTACTTAGCTCTTACCAGATCAAAGAGATGAAATATTGACTCAAGGCAAAAAATAATCAAATAACAACAATAATAATAATAACATTTATATAGGGCCTTAAAGCTTGCAAAACGCTATATATATATATATACATATATGTATATATATATATACATATATATATACATATATGTATATATATATATATATATACATATATGTATATATACATATATATATATACATATATGTATATATATATATACATATATATATACATATATGTATATATATATACATATATACATATATGTATATATACATATATATACATATATGTATATATATATACACATATATACATATATGTATATATATACATATATATACATATATGTATATATACATATGTATATATACATATATATACATATATGTATATATACATATGTGTATATATATATATATATATACATATATGTATATATACATATGTGTATATATATATATATATATATATAATCTCATTTGATCCTTACAATAACCCAGTGAATATAGATGCTATTATTATCCTCATTTCTACAGATGAGGAAATTTACTTGAGAAAGTAACTTTCCCAATGTAACAAAGTGTCTGAGGCAGGATTTGAACTCAGGTCTTCTTGACCCTAAGTCTAACATGTTTACTCCACTGTGCCACTCAGCCAGCTTCCACATGTGTGCTTGACATTCAGCAGTCCACTAACCTGGGTCAGCTCCATTGACATTTCAACACAGGGCTTTAAGAAGTTTGCTTCTTGAAATGAGCTTGACTAATTCATCAACAAATATAAAATTTGTCTCATTGAACAGAGAAATTCACCTGCCTTGAGACAATGTAACTGGAACTGAAACCAGACAGGACCTCATAGATGAAGAAAAAAGATAGTATCCCATAACAGATACACCTTAGAGATCTTTTTCTTTAAAGATATTCAAATTATACTTGTTCCTTTTCTTACAGTGTAATGGAAAAAGGAAGGCCTAGGAGTCAGGATTGTGCAATTGGGGGGGGGGGGAATGAGGTTTGGAGTACTGGGTTAGTTCAAATCCCAACTCTTTATTTAGTATCTGTGTGACCTTGGGCAAGTCATTTAAGCCCTGTGGGATTCAGTTGCCTCATCTTTAAAATGAAGGAGTTGGATTACTTTGCCTCTCAGGTCCCTTCTAGCTTTGCCTATGGTCCTAAGATAAATTCTGAGTCCCATGTCTCCTACTTGCTGCTTGAGCAAGACTCCTGCACCTTTGTTTCTTCATCAGCAAACTGAGAATAATGATCCTTCCCCATCCTACCTCAGAATAGTCATGAGGAGCAAATGAGCTAATATAGCTAACACAGTAACAAAGCCTACATAAGTGTAGGTGTTATTAGATCATTAATTTCTACAGAAAGGCTGAAAGATGGTGGCCTGTTTTAAACATCAACAAAATGAGGGTTTATCAGATAATCCAAGGGATTTACTAGTCAGTTTACCTCCCTGCTCTCGGCCCTCAGAAAATTCTACCACCAATTCAATCAATTGTCATCAAAAAAGTCATAGAACAGTCTAAATTCTAGGGGTTTGAGATAAATGTCTCTCCAGGAAGAAATCTCTTTAAAATTCAGAGTGGACCAAAAGCCTATTAAACAGATCTCAGCGGCTTTCTTAGATAACCCTCAATAATGACTCTTCTTGCTGTTCCTTTTTCTATTTCCAGCTGATTCCTCACCTGATCAGCTTAGTTTATCCTGGCTTTTTCACTAAGAGAGTCAGAAGTAGCTTGTCTTTCATATAAACAGCTTCTTTCTCATGAGCAGCTGTAGCTTTCAGCTCATTCAAGGGCATTTAAACAGAAAACAAGGACAGCTGGGTCTCTAGCCTTGGCTCTGAGGTCCTGAGCCAAAAATGAGGAGACACAAAGTTACTGGCACCCATTCCCTGAAACACAATCAATACATATGTTGTACGTACCCCTCTGGACTCACTCTACCAGGCCTCACTTGCACTGAAAGCCTGGGTCCCCAGAGAGCAAATGACTGTTCCTCCCTCAGGTTCTAGAACAACCCCAGGCATTCGTGGGTTTGATACCATCACTTACAATTCCCCGTATCCCGTGTTCCCCTAATACCAATCCACCAGTTGAAATCAATTAGCTTTTATGTAGAAATATTTACTGAGGTGTTATAGCAAGGACAAAAATTATAAAGACATCTCCCCCAGTTAGGAGTGCACTCTTCCCTCTGCACACAGTCACAGACAGTTGGCTTACACGTGAAGTACACAGGCAGTGAGGGACACATGTAGGAAGCATATGGATCTAAGGTGCATCGCACAACTCCTGGCCTTGAACCTTTTCTCTCTTTATGAAGTCTCCACCAAGTTCTGTTTGGGAAGTGGTATCACAAGATGAGTCACTCCCTTGTACACCTGACCTGGCTCCTTCCAAGATGTGGTATCTCAGCTGACAGGTCAGCAACCTACCTTTGAGTTAGGTCAAGCGCATCTCTCAGCTGCTGCTTTGGCTCCAGTGATATCTACTACTGATTCAGGTTGGTGAGGGAGTCTCTGATGCCTTTCATAACCTTTAAAAGCTCACAGGGTTGCAGCCTGTTCAAGTCCATGTCCATATAGCCAGCCCACTAAGATCAGGAAAGAAGAAATTCAGAATAAACTGTCACCTTGCATTCAGATACATGGCTGCCAAGTGGAGGCATACAGCCCAACTTGGTGGTTCGCATCAGTCTCCTTACTTGAAAGCCACAAAAAAAAAAAAAGAGCAAGATATATTTTCAGACCTTACATATACTTTCAGTTCCAACTTCTCACCCAATTAGAAGATTGTCATTGCAGTTCCAGCCCCTCGGTCACTCATGGCTAAAAGCAGAATCTTTATGCCTCCCTGAGCTGGATTAAAATGAAGCAGGGAATATTGTACACGTTTTGAAAACTGGACCCTCACAGGCAGAGCCAAGATGGTGGATAAGAGGCAACCCAGCTGAATTCTCTCAACATTCTCCTCCAAACGACTTTGAAATGATGCCTCAAATCAAATTTGGAGCAGCAAAGCCAACAAAAGGTCAAGGTGAGGCATTTTTCTAGACTAAGAAAACTTGAGAGGTCAGCAGGAAAAGTTTATGACACTGGAGTGGAGGCCGGTCTAGTGACCCAACACACTGTGGCACCAACAGCTGCCACAGTGGCAGCAGCTTGGGGAGCTCTCAGCCCAGAGATGGTAAGAGGGTCAGAAATTAAACAGAAAGAGATTCCGAGAGACCCCATGCTGGCACTGGACAGAGTTGTCACTGATTGGTAAGTCTATTGCCCATATGCAATTTTGTGTCACAGTTCCAGGGCAGAGGGGAATGCTTGGAGTTGATCACAAGGGAGCAGGGGTCCTGGTCATAGTTCTAAGGCAAAGAAAAGCACTATTGCTTGTGGCTACGGGGGAAAGACTGGGTAAAGACCAGAGTGTAGACTGGTAGAGAAGTGACTACATGTCTCTTCACATCACACTACCTTAGAAGCACCAAAAATGTATAGAGCCCCAGAACTAGCTCAAAAACAGGAGCACAAAAAAAGCCTGATACTTGGGATAGTGCCTTTCTACCCCAGGTGAGCAGAGCCCAACTTTGACATAAAGTTCAGAGTCAAGAAATAGGCTGGAAAATGAGCAAACAACCAAAAGACCATAAAAAGATACAGTGGTGGCAAGGAAGACAAAGACAAACTCAGAAAAAGAAAACAATGTGAAAACAGCTACGAGAAGGGCCTCAAAGAAAAATGCTAATTGGGCCCAAGCCCAACAAGAATTCCTGTAAGCATTAAAGAGATAAAAGGGTAGAGGAAAAATTGGGAAAAGAAATGAAAGTGATACAAGGAAATTATGAAAAGAGAATTAGCGGTTTGATAAAAGAGGAACAAAAAGTACCGAAGAAAGTTAACACCTTAAAAAACAGAATTGATCTAACAGTGAAAGAGGCACAAAAATTCACTAAAGAAAAAACTCCTTAAAAGTTAGAATTGGGTAAGTGGAAGTTAATGACTCCATATGATTATGGAATACTATTGTGCTTTGGGGAATGATGAGGGGGATGGTGTCGGAAAAATTTGGCAAGACCTATATGAACTGATGCAAAGTGAAGTAAGAAGAACTGGGAGAACATTGTGCATAGTAACATCAATGTTGTAAAGAAACTGTGAAAGGCTTGGCTATTCTGATCATCCAATGATCCAAGACAATTCCAAAAGACTCATGATAAAAAAAAAATGCTACCTACCTCCAAGGAGAGAACTGATGAACTCTGAATGCAAATTGAAGAAGAATAATTTTTTTACTTTATTTTTCTAGCTTTTTTAAAAATGTGACTGATATGGAAACATATTTTACATGATTTTACATATATACTTGATGTAGGGGGGAGAAAATTTGGAACTCAAAATCTTAAAAAATGTTTAAAATACATGATATTTTTAAAATTAAATAAAATTAATAATTTTATTAATTAAATTTAAGTTAATTTTAAAGTTTTATTTATTTTATTTTTAATTTATGGAATAAAATAAGCATTGCCATAACATAATATAGTTCTTCACATGACACTCCACATTCTAACTTCAGGATTTTTCACTGGCTCTTCTTCATGCCTGGAATGCTATCCCTCTTCACCTGATTCCTTTAAGACCCAGCTCAAATCCCATCTTCTGCAAGAGGCCTTTCCCTGGTATCTCCTCAGCACCCATGCATCCTCTTCCCTGTCCCCCACTGTTCTTGATTACGTTCTGAGATTGCTGCCCATTTACATTATATATGTACATCTCTATATTCAGTATGTACATAATTATCTCCTACATTAGACTGTGAGCTCCTTGACCATATGTATGCCTTTTGTTGTATCCCCAGTGCGTAGCACAGTGCCAGGCATGTAGTAAGTGCTTAATAAATCCTTATTGACTGACTGATATTTCTCTGGGTTTCACTTTTCTCATTTGTTAAATAAGGGCTTGGAATAAACAGTCTCTAAGATGTTTCCAGCTTTAAGGTTCTATATAAATTCTCTGGTTCTTTGGCTTTGGAGCTAATTGATAAATTGCTATAGTTACCTGGAGTTGGAGAAATTCATCTTCATCATCTTACATTGCCTTTTAAGTGCTCCTTGAAGGCATCGATCTGCCACTTGACGACCGTGCAGGAGCCTTCGTACATGCCCGTCCTTTCCATGCTTTAAACCCCTCAATTTTCACATTTCCTTTCCAGCTACACTTGCTGCTCCCACTTCCTTGTCATTCACAACCATTTGCGATCCGGTTTCTGTACTTACCATATAACTGAAAATATTCTTTCTGCTCTGGCCCCCAATAACTTATTGATTACCAAATCCAATAGCTTTTTCTTAGTTCTTATCCTCTTCGACCTTTCTGCAGCATTTAACACGATCGAACAATCCTAAATTTGTGGATAATCTGTTCTTGGTTTTCATGAAACTTATCCTTCCAAACCTCCATCTATCTGTTTCAAGATTCTTTTTAAACTTCCTTTCCTGGTTTTCTTTTCTCCTCCTACTCTGTAAGTATAGGCATCCTCCAAAGTTCTGTCCTTTTCCATTCCTTCTTTCAAGCTTTTTCACTGATGATAGCTGGATATAAAAGTTCCTGGAGGGGAGTAAGCTAGAAGTGGAGCAGATCATGAAGGGCTTTAAAAACAAGACAGAAGATTTAATTTTTTTTCCTGAAGATAATAGGGAGTTTTTGGAGCTTGTTAAATGGAAGGAAGAGGTGACATGGTCAGACCTGTGCTTTGAGAAGATCAATTTGACAGTTGAGGAGAGGATGGATTGACTTGGGGAGAGACTTGATGAAGGAAGATCACCAGCAGGCTATTGTAATAGTCCTGGCGTGAGCTGATGAAGGCCTATGCTAGAGTGTTTGTGGTGCCAGAAGAGAGAAGGAGGCATATATGAAAGATCTGATGGAGGTAAAATCAACAGGAAGTGGCAACAGATTGGATGTGACTGATGGACTGATCAGAAAACCGTTATGACTTGCTCAAGGTCACACTGACAGCCAAATCCCGTGTTCTCTCAGTCCCATTTACCTAACAATAATATTTATATATGAGCAGTTTCCCTGTCTTCCTTTTCTTCAAAGACTTCAAGCTGAATTAAAATTTAGGACTATTCCTACCATTTTTTGATAGCTCTTAAGTATCCAACAGACAGTTTTCCACATGAGTGGAGCCTGAGGGACATCTAGTGGTTCCTTTGAGAAACGGAATCATTCTAAACACTTCCTACTTTTCTTTTTCCAAAAGAAATTACTTTTTAAAATTTTTACTTAAAGAAACATTTAATTCTACAAAACAACCACAAAGTTAGGGAAATGGGAGACTATAATGATCGCTTTTAGCCATAGAGACTAATTGAAAACCTATGGAGGACAGCCGACCTGTTGGACCAAATTTATTAAACAATATTAATATTATTCAAACATTAAACCACAATTCTGGCCAATGCCATTTTTTTTCCATGGAAGTATTGTAACGGAAAGAGCTACAGATTTGAAGTCTGTGGACGTAAGCTAAGAGTCCTTGCAAACTCTGGGATTTATTTAAGTCACTAAACTATTTGGGGCCTCAGCTACCTCATCAATGATATGAGGATAATGACAACTGTCTTACCAATTCACAGGATTGTTGTGTGAGGTTCTAGCTATGAGACTTTGGGCAAATGACTTAACCTCTCTGAGCCTCGGTTGGCACACTTGTAAAACGAGGATAATAGCATCTACCTTACAGGGTTGTGCAGGGGATTAACTGAGAGAATGGATGAAAAGAACATTCTTTGCAAATCTTAAGGTTCTATTTAAATATGAAATATAATTATTATCATTAAGTGAATCTTTGAAAATCATACAGCATTACACAAACATAAAGTTCGGGAAATAGAAATGAAGAGGACGGTGGAGTAAGGCAATAGCACCTTCTCAGACTAAAAATGCAGCTGACATGCCAATGGGGCCCTCGTTTCCTCACCTGATAAGGAATGAAAGCTCCATTCTTAATAAGTTAGCTTAATACAGAGTTCCAAGTGTTCTGTTATCAGCCCTCCTTGACTTGCAGTGCTCTGGCTCTCCGGAATCAGCTTTCCCTGTTGAGTGCTAGCTCTCTGCCTCCAGAGGTGTGCTGGTAAATGTTTAACAGTCAGTTTTCCAGAAGAAGAAGAAAAATGCATGCTGACACACTTTTAAGTTTAATTATTAACATGTTTTCCGTTACTTTATTAAGTCTAGGCAATCAATTAAACAATAAATCAAGCTCTGATTCCTAGCATTTGCTGACTTCTGAGTTGTAAATGCTCATACAGAAAATTTAACAATCGGTCCTTCAGTACACCCCTGCCTGCCCCCATCTTTACCAGGCTAAAGAGGCTGGTGTCCTCTAACTCAGCCTGGCAATCAGCAGAAAGAAGAATTGTCCTACGGTGAAATAGTAATCTAAAAAAGACATTAAGCCAAGAACTAGGAGATGGCCAAAAGAACAACCCATCCTTATAAATTCCTAACATACTTTATAAAGTGCATAGCCTGGGAAAGTTTCATTTAACTCCTACACTGAAGCATAGGCCTGGTTAAATGCCCCTGAAAGTTGTACAGTCCTGTGAAATGTGGCCAGGGATATGTTATAGTGTAGAGAGCTGGATTTGGAGTGAAAGGACCTGGTTTCCCATTCCCGCTTTACTATTAACCGGCTGTGTAATCGCTGGACCCTTACTAGCCGAGTCTCACTTTTTCTGCTCTGTAAAATGAGGGGGTTTGGTTGGCCTAGAATCTAGGAGTGGGGAACTTGCAGCCTCGAGGCCACCTGTGGCCTTCCAGGTCCTTGGGTGCAGCCTTTTGACTGAGTCCAAGTCTTACAGAACAAATCCTTTTATTAAAGGGATTCATTCTGTGAAGTTTGGATTCGGTCAAAGGGCCGTACTTGAGGACCTACATTATCTTTAAAGTCCTTAGTATGGAGTATTGTCTCTCAGCAACAAGTTCTCCATTGGCTCGGTTATCCTTGTAGCCATGGTTAAAGGGATGGTCAAGGTCAGAGGGCAAAGGACATTAATCTCTCTCACCATCAAGCTACGGCAATTTTTTTTTTAGGCAATTGGGGTCACCCAGCTAGTAAGTGTCAAGTGTTTGGTCTACGGCGGGATTTGAACTCAGGTCCTCCCTATTTCAGGGCCAGTGCTCTATCCACTGCTCCACCTAGCTGCCCCGAGCTATGGCAATTTTTAAAAAAGCTTTATTGACACATATTAATTCATGTCCCCTTCCACCCTATCGATGCATGAAGTAATGAGCAAGAATTGATTAATCTATGCACCAAGCACGGTGCTAAAGACCAGGGATACAAATATAAGAGCAAAAAGAGTCTCTGTCCTCAAGGAGTTTGTATTCTAAAGGGAAGAGCAATGTACATAGGAGAGTAGTGGCCAGAGAGGGTCTTTTTTTGTCCAGAAAGTTACAAGGATCGTGAGTGAGGTCATAAGGGAGTAGATTGACACACCCTATTCAGGATCAGTGACAGAGTCGATCATGGACTATGGTGATGAAATTGGAGGGAGAAGAAAAGCAAATGTGGCAGCAGTGGCTGGAGAGGAGAGGTAAAGGGAAGCATTGCTAGGAGCATTTCCCAGTGCACCATCCACTCACCTGGTAAACCCTCCCTTCTCATGGTGGAAAACAGTTAAGTAAAAGTGACAAAAGTAATAGTGTCTCTGTTGAAGCCATAGCTTGATGGTAGGCCTCTTGGTGGGTACACCTGAAATCTCAGTCGTGTGATATGCTGGTCATAGGTTTCTAGAGACCTTCCTATATCCCAAAGCATAACTTAGTGGGTAGCCAAGATTCTCAACCAAATTCCAACAAATAGTGGGAAAGTATTGTCATCATTTCTGATGGGATAAGTATGCCATGTGATGTCAGAAATGTCATGCATTGTCCTTCTGTTCTGGTCTGAGTGTTCCCAGTATATTTAACATGATGTATTTGAAGCATTCTGGCTAGGGATATACCTAGGCGTACTTAGGCATATTCCTAGACAGAGCCATAACTAAGAATTCTGACACCTTGGGATAGCAGATTCCTTTGAGTGTGGGTGACCACTGTTGGGCTTGGCCCTGAGTTGAAGAGGTTGAACAACTGGGAGTATAGAATTTATGAAGAAACCATGATTTGGAACACACTGAACTTACTGGGAAAGAGGGAAAGTGGCCTGAAGAGTCACAGCCAATCACAATAAAGATCTGATAGAGTGAAACTTTAGAGGAAATGTGGTATCTGTGGCAGAGGGGAGGTCTAAAAGTGGCCGTAGAGGAAGGAGTATATCTACTCTTTCTCCCAGCCCTGTGTGTCAGATGGCATGAAAGAAGAAGCAGCCATCTTGGAAAGAATGCCAGGAGATATGATGATTGTTGTCTTCAAGTGAAAGCTAGGTCTCAGTAAGTACAAGAAGATGGAAGGAAAGTGGGAAGAAGAGAATGAAAGCATATTTATTAACAATAGAAGGTTCAAAAGGACATATAGGAAAGATAAAACAAAATCTATTACAAATTGGGGAGGGCTAGGGCTGAAGCTGATTAGGTATGAAGGTATAGGAAGAAGTAGCAGGGAAAGGAGGTTTTGAAGGGGTGGATGGCAGATCAGTGCCCTGAGGGAAAGAACTGTGAGTTCAGTCACTAGGGATAGAGAGAATGGCTTGTTTTCTCCCCCTCCAGCCCTGACCTCCACTCCCTCGATGTCTCCTTTCAAGCTGCTCTACACTAATCGAAATCTCTTCATTTCTGCCAGATCAAATACTTCTAAGAAAATTGCCTTAGAATCTCACCCCTGCTTTGCTCCATTCTAAAGGGAAGAGCAATATACATTGGAGAGTGATGGCCAGAGAGGGACATTTTTTTGGTCCATGAGCAGGGGAGGGGGGGAAGAGGGTGAAGGAGTAGAGAAAAGGAAGCTTCTTCCCCTCTTCAGTTGGGAGACCTTTGTCCCCATGTGATCCCTATGGGGGCTGGGGAAATGGCAGTCCCAGAAAAGAGCAAGGGAGTACTTGACTGGCCACTTGAACATGGAGGAGTGGTTCAGAACTCTGTAGCTTACTTTTACTAAAGGTACATTTTTCTGGAGGATGTCCCAGACTTTCTAAGTCAGAAGACCTGCACCTATTAAATTACATATCTTCTCCCTTTCTTTATGCATCACCATGGTCTCTAATTTGTGAGGCTTATTCAACAGGACATCTGCCTCCATGTATCTTCTTGGGGAACATGTAATTGGTGAGGGCAGCTATCCATTTCTGTCTCATAGCATCCTATATTGCTCTCTTTAGTCTTTAAACAAATGGGTTGACATCTACCCATACCTGGGACTGTGCTTTGTACATGTTAAAGACCTGTGTCCCCCACACGGCTTTGGAGACAACCCATTTTTGGTTTCCTTAGGCCATATCTTCCAAAAGATCTTGGGGAGTGAGAACTGCATTTATTGGAAGATAATCTTGAATGGCAAATTCAAGGATGGAACATATGGAGCACACCATAGTATAAGGGTATCTCTCTGAATACAGATGTTTTTAAAAGATGAGGCTAGACTATGGGAAAGTAGTATTAAGTTACTGGCTCTAGTCAACTCAGGAACAGCATGACCAGAAGAAGCAGCAACATTTCTAGGGTAGAGATGAGGTTCCCTGCACAATCATTAAAGCCAGCCTTGTGGAGCAGCCAATGTTCCAATTATCATGATAGCTGTCCAGCACGCTGGCAGAGCCACACCCTCCTAACCCAGGAACTTCACTGCCAGTTCTGGATAGATTTCAGTATCTGTCCATTGGGCAAGGCCTTACAATATCTCTGGTTCCCACCTTGCAACATAAAGACAAGAAACAACTGGGGAAAACAGGCCTGTGTCAACTCACATTACCCCTACCTCCTTGAACCATGGTACAGGAAGGCTATAGTTTGGAAATGGGTAAAAGAAGAGGGTGTAAAGGGCTACTGGAATCAGGAGGACCTGAGTTCAAATTCAGCCGCAGACACTTGACACTTATTAGCTGTGAGACACTGGGCAAGTCACTTAACCCCATTGCCTAGCCAAAAAAAAGAAAAAGAAGAGGGTATAAGGTCTACATTTTACTCCTTGTTGTTTTTCTCCCATTTCTATTGTTCCATAAATGATCCATTTTCACCACCATCTCTGAGGTTATATAATTGAAAGTAAAGCAGCTTTATCTTTTAAGGAAGAAATTCAGAGGGGACTATGGGCTTGTAAGCACTAATTTGAGGAGATTAAACCAAAACCAGGATTAAATGTGTGGGAATAGGTCGGGGACATTACATAAACAGTTTCAAAACCTTGGGTTGGCAGCCTACTTCAGGCCCTGAAATTCCAATTTATGAATAGAATAATAGACCTCTGCCTGGTAAGTGCAATAGACCTCTAATACTAATCATTTCTCCGGTTAAGAACCAGGCCATCCAGGCCCACATCTCTGTACAATACAAAGGGATCATTGAATTGACAAAAGCCTATGTATGTGTGCTTTTGTGAATGTGTATATATTTCTCTGTGTGCATGTGTGTACGTGTGTGTGCGTGTGCGTATGTGTGTGCATATGCGTGTGTGTGTGTGTGTGTGTGTGTGTGTGTGTGTGTGTAACAGTCAAGTAGGTCTTTGAAGGTTTGGCCTCATTTCTCATTCCAACAAACTCCAACGGCTGCTAACTTATATAATCCATACTGTTCCTTTGGATAGGAATGCTTTTGCTAAACTTTCTTTGGCTGCTTGTGATTCTTTATAACAATATATCCACAGGCAAGAATTATAAGAGGATTTGCAATGGTGGAATAATTCTTCCACAGATCTCTAAAAAGCACCAGACCCAAAAAATGTCTGCAGCTCATAACATGTCTTTGGATGCGGACAGGTATTAGAATACCCTTCTCAAGACAGTGCTTGATGCCTGTTAAACTGCTTACTATGTATTTAGCAAATGCTCAGCAACATTGGCACTCATCATTACACACAGACCAGCAGTCTGTAACTCTAAATCAATCAATCAACCAGCATTAATTAACCACCTGCTATACCCCAGGCACTGTGCCAGGTCCTGGAGAT